ATGAGAAGAACGTACTTTTTGTTTCCGAGAGGTGAGACCTAAGCGCAGTGAGAGGCAAGGGAGAGCAGAGTGACAGGAGAGACCAGGAAGAGCCCTAGTACTGCAGAGTCCAAGGACTTTGCAAAAGCAAGAATGTCAGGTATGTGATTTTTTAAATGTTTGCTGCTGGGTGGTGCAATATGTACCCCCTTCTCAAGACCTTTGAATCTCAGTAAAGCCTTCCACCCCTCAAACACCTGATAGGAAGAAGAATTGGGGTGAAGATGGGTGGAGGTTTGTGGGAGGCTTGTGGCAGAGTGGAGGCAGCAGGTAAGAAAGCAGGGCTCCCCTTGGGAACTCATGTTAGTCTGAGATGGGCTTTGATCTCTATGGCTCCAGGCAGACTCATGACGATGTCCAGAGCAGGGACCTCACACACAATGTCTGAATTCTACAGAGTTCATCATACTGTCTCTGCCATGTGGAGGTTACAGAGGGCCCAGTGGAAGACAGCAGCAGGACTTAACAGGATAACTGGCAAGATGATACGGGATATAGCATAAATAATAGAAAATTGTGTTTTCATCCTTTCTCCTTCTCAGATAAACTCTTAGATCTAGAAATCCAAGGATGAGAAATCATCTGTTCAGAGAGCAATGTAAGGCTACCCTTTTAAGGATGGGCAAACTACATCTCAGGTCTACCCGATGAAAATTCTGAGAAATAAAGCTTAAAGAAAAGGGTGATAGCCAGGGCTCACCGTGGAGGAAAGATCAGCCAAAAGTTGCCAGGTTGCAGGTGGAGAGAACTGTGTAGTCTAAACAGCACCCTGAGAGTGTCTCGGGGAGGTCTCTGGGAAGTATTCCTGGCCGTGCCATTAACCAGATAGTGGGTCTAACAAAAACGTGGCACTGCTGGAATTGTGGTCCATAAGTTGCTCTGATTTGGGTTTAGCTTTCTTTCTCCGCTGGACATCAGGTGCATGAGCCAGGAGCCGCAAGGAACCTGGTTTATCCTATTCGGCCGTAGATATCCACACCCAGCCACCCTGACCTGCTGAGAGGCAGCAGCTATCCCCAGACTGCCTATGCCCAGCAAGTCTGATAGAACTACTAGTCCAGCGTATTAGTCAAGCTCCTTCCCTGTGCTGGTCAGTCTCCAAATATGGCCCCATCTGTGCCTTCCCTCTTTGTTCACATGGGCTACTTCTTACATCAGGAGGGGACACCTCCCTACCTTTTCACCTGGGCTGGCTGTGGTACCTAATTTGACCAATAGAGTGTGGCAGAACTAACATTCTGAGAACAGGTCCTAAAGCAGCTCTATGTCTTCTACCTCAGTCATTTAAAAACATTTGCTCCTGAAATATTCCATCTTGGAACCCACTGACCATGCTTTGAGAATCCCAGGCCATTGATGAGGCCATGTCATCAACAGTCCCAGCTGAGCTCCTGGTAAACAACCAGGATCAATTGCCATGTGAGGAGCCATCTTGGGTGTGCAGCCCAGTTGAGCTGTCCGGTGATCCCACCCCCAGCTTCTGGCTACGACTACTTGAGACCCCACATGAGAACCACCCAGCTGAGTCCAGTCAACCCAGGGGACAGTGACAAAGAATAATAAATCACCATTTTAAGCCAAAGTTTGGGGATGATTTGTTACACAGCAATACATACCTGGACCACTCCCCATCAGAGTAGGCAGGACCCTCAGGCTGTTCTTGGGGCATCAAATAAAATTGCCATTGTTCCTTTAATAGCCTTGACCCTAAAATGGCATCTTTGGATATTTCCTGTTTAAGGAATTGTCCCTTGTTTCATAATTTTTCTCACGACTCAAAAGTCTTTTCTTTTCTTTTTTTTTAGATTTATTTCTTTGACAGAGAGATAGGGAGAACACACAAGTGGGCAGAGCGGCAGGCGGGGAGGGGAGGAGGGGAGAAGCAGGCTCTCTGCTGAGGAGGGAGCCCGATGCGGGGCTCGATCCCAGGACCCCGGGATCATGACCTGAGCTGAAGGCAGCCACTTAACTGACTGAGCCACCCAGGCACCCCTCAAAAGTCTTTTCAAGATGAATTATGTCTTTCTCCAAATCTTAGTTTGGGCATCAAATGTGGGAAATGTAGTGGAAGACAAGGTCATGGGAAAAAAAGAAAAGGCTTTAGAGACAGACACACCCAGGTACCAATTCCAGACTGGCTTTTACCAACTGTGTGGCTTTGGGCAATCTGACCTGTCTTGAGCTCTGGACATCTGAATACAAATCTCCACCTTGCTGGCTTATATTGAGATTCAAAGGGACCACTGTAAGGAAAGCCCCTGGCACCATGCCTACCACTATACTGGCCCTGCAGAAATGAATGTTTTGTAGATGGTTGCTTCCTCTGAATCTCTCTTTCTTATTCTCAATGTATGAGATTTCTACCATGCTCTTAGGTTGGGAGATCAGCTGGAATGAAAGATGGACTCCCTTGGAGAGCCACCTGTCTATGCTCTTGTTGGTTTGGGCTGCCCAGTGGGGTATAGGAATTTGGTAAGAATCAGTGGACACAGAAGACAAATTAGAGTAGAGAAAAGGCATCCAGCTAGCAATTAGAAAGTCCTGTCAGGATAAGGACATATCACCCCATCACTATACACATTTTCTTATTGATTTCCTCTTAGTGTTGAACACTTGCTGTGTGAAAACGCTAAGGTGAATACAAAGATGCATGAGACATGGTCTCTGCCCTCAAAGAGCTGACAAGATAGCTGGAGAGACAGTGACATACCCTTGGAAGGCTAAACGATGGTGCAAACTGTAAGCAAACATAGTCATATGGAAGCATTTCTATGCAATGGTTGAAAACAAAGGGGCTATGAGTTCCATGAGTTGTTTGTTTCAGTTAGGCCACGGTGAAGTTATTGTACCAGTCACCTGGTGATGGTGCAGGTCCAGGCCACAGCATGACCCTGGCAGAAAGATCCTGCCATTCTCTGGGACTTACATTTGCTGCTATCCTCAACCCCAGGAAGACTTCTCCATACACAACACTTTCCATCCCCTGGAAAGCTATCAAGTGTGATGGGTGCTGTGGCTTGCATTTGAGAGAATCCAGGATCTGTCCTTCTGTCTTGTTGTAAAAGGCCCAGTCTGGAACTTTGGGAGAGATCTTTCACAGAAGTCCCCAGGTTTGACCTGATGGGCTTGGTCTTCCACGGTGACCCTGCTGGGCTAAGAGGTGCCGAGTTGTGCACAAGATTCTCCCAAGCCCCAAGCACACAATCTCAGAATTAGAAGATCCTGCTGCTGCTGGTTATGCCTTGCAGTGCAAAAATAGAAGGGTTGGGTTTGAATCACTTAAATCCAGAGCTGTGCCTTCCAGTACAGTAGCCAGAGCTACATGGGGCCACCTCAGCATCAACTTTCATTTTTATTTTTATTTTTTTTTAAAGATTTTTTGTTTTTTGACAGAGAGAGACACAGTGAGAGAGGGAACATAAGCAGGGGGAGTGGGAGAGGGAGAAGCAGGCTCCCC